GTACAAGAACCCTCCTCGGACTCCTCCGAGGCCGCGTATCTCTGGACAATATCATACACCGTCGACCTGGGGTATCCGAAGAACTTAATAATTTCGTTTGGCGTTCTTCCGGCGCGGACACCTTCAATAACCGCCTCTCTTCGATTATATTCCGGCGTCTTCCTGAACGACTCGGCCATTTTAAGGTTATTAATGTCTTATCGACGTCTCTAACCTATCTTTAGGTCATATGGCACCTACTGCTGCATTCTAATATGATGGGAATGTCAAATTCAAATTTGTCCGGATTTAAGTGGCGGACCCTGTATATAGTTTATAGAACTATATATATACACAGAAAAAAAATGGAGTTGCTTCAATTAAAGTTGACGTCACGGGCTGCCACAAAAATAAATAGTTCATTCAATTGCATATGCGATTAATTTAATGTCTAGATTCTTAAAGCAACTATCTGATATGTATAGCGCAATAATATTGATGTTGCATCAACAGGATATATTTCAATTAAACCGATACTGTTGATTCAACATCTTTTTTTTTCGTGTAGTTTATATTGATTTTTTTTCAGAAAAAAAAAACGTCTTGTTCAAAAGTATTCGTTCCACAAAGCTATGTAATTGCGAGTTGAGCGTTAGAATTCTCTGTGATAACAATCAGGAGATTATTGTCTATATGTTCAGCGTATGTCTCTCTCCATCGCGGATATCACGTGAAACGTTCGCGCATAAAAACGGCGATAAAGATGAACGCCGTAAAAACGATAAACGTCGCCGCTTCTGACGATCCATGAATTGTTATGACAAATATCTCTTTCCCGAGACCTCTCTTTCTCTCTTTTAAAAATACTTATTTATCATCGCGAGCAACCTTATCGTACACAAATCTTATTCATAGTTTGGTCTTCATCATTCTGTATCCGATTTTCTTTCAAAGACCGGAGTTCAAGTGATTTTCCTTTCGTGTCGCTTCACGCACACACACACACACACACACATAAAGCTCTCTCTCATCCGTTTTCAAATGCAGAAATGCAACTCGAGCGGGATTTAGTGGAAACTTCTTGCAAGACTGATAGCGCATCGATCTCCCGGATTAAGAAGCTGTGATATTTGTTTAATGCGCAGCGCCAGATAGCGACTATATACCTGGCAACTATATATCTAGTCCGAAGGATTTCGGGAGTAAAGTCGAAGAATGAGAGACATTAGTCGAGCTTTCCCTTTGTCCGTTACCTTCTCTTCCGTCTCTTCATAGTATTCACAGAGAGGTCTGGTAATTATTTCCGCGCGATTTTTTTCCGACAATATGGCGTCGCATTGAAATATAGGATTATACAAACGACGCGGTTTTTTTTTCCTTCAAATCGACGACGATATACATCCGCGGTTTCGCTCTTCGCGTAATTCGAGACACCCCCCCCGTGTAACAACCCTCGCAATAACAGCAAGGATAATTTCGCATCCTCGCTAGGGAGAGTTGTACAATGACGAAAGTGGTTCACAAATGCGGCGAAAGAAATTTCTCGATTTGACATCTTTGTTGGGTTTATTGATTTAAGCATTAGCGTTCTGCCTATATATGACAGACAATAGAACATTCGTTCACGCGCATTATCGGGCCCCGGCACCGTCAATCTGTCGGTTTACTAAACGGCGGTTCTCCGCTACTTTCCGAGCCAAGTTGTTTTTTTTTCTTTCCATTTCTCGCCCAGTTATCAGAATGTCGACGAATCGCACTTGTAAGATTAATTTTCCGTATTCTATCAGTTCTATACGCGCGCATCATTAAGAGGGTACTGGATACCGACCACACATCGAAAAAATTATATTCTCGTAAGTAGAAGATTTTATACTTAAAAAATCTTAAGAAGTGGCAAGGCAGTTGGAGTCAAAAGCACAGTTGTTGTTGTGTATAAATGTAATAATGAAGTTCTTTATTTAATAGTTTGCAAAAATATGATTCACTTTTTCATAATTTTTGTTAATAGTATTTTCATATATTATTTTTGTTAATTTCTTGTGATCAATTTTTGTAGAACGAATTTGATAAAGATCAAAAACTAAGGTCGAAACGTCATATTTTTGCAAACTATTAAATAAAGAACTTCATTATTACATTTATACACAACAACAACTGTGCTTTTGACTCCAACTGCCTTGCCACTTCTTAAAATTTTGAATATCTGGAGTTATCCGTTTTCTGATTTGTAAAAAATCTTGTTAAAGATTTTAGATGATATTCTTCTGAAATTAAAAATATATTCTTTATTTAAGAATATATTCTTAATTTAAAAATATAGTCTTTTTCGATAGTGAGATATGTATGTTTTTCTATAGAGATTTTTTATATTCTAATCAGTATATATTCTTATCAATATTACTATTTAGAGGATTTTCCTCTTAAAATAAGAAACTCTTCGTGGCGCCTATTTTAGTATAAAATATACTTGAAGTAAGTGGGATATCCTCAAAACAAGAATACAATTTTTTTGGTGCAGAGACCTGTAAATCGACGTTTCAATATTTGATTTTGCGTCGTATTTACTGCATTAAATCCAAAATGCTTCTCCAAAACTAAATAAATTGCGCTAAGAAAGCGCGCTTGTTCTTTAGAATGTCAAAATTCAGCGTAAATTTTTTCTTAAAGTTTTCTTCTATAAACTCATCATATATTCATGTATGTAGAATTATTTCTAAGCTTCTGTATGTATTTACACTGAATTAGCGCACTAAGTACGACAAAAAAGAACATAACGAGACGCTCAGATTATGATTTGACTATTTAATTAATGAGAGAAATAAAAATATTGTGATGACAGAATAGGTTATCATATGCTATTATTACGAATAAAAAAAAAAGTTCAAAAGAGCATTATATACTCATTTTCAAAAGCACTACGTAGTTTTTTATATTTATGTGCTTCTGTAGAAGCATTTTTCATGTGATGCAGTACACAAAATTAGAAATTTACGTTTCTATTCGAATTACAGGTCTCTCTTAATGCATTTAAAACGCTCGTAATTAAC